TACCACATGCAATGAGAATAGTCAGATGTTTTCAGGACACATTATTTAATTTCAAAATAGCTAGATAGGGCACAATTGAATGGATCAGAATGGAGATCTTTGTGTTTTTAAAATAAATATTTTTAACACCATCATAAAAATGTAATACTCATGGCATAAGACAATGGAATTTTAGAACTAATTAAAAATAATGTTTTTATAGATCCAACATTACATTTGCATTGACATTTTTATTAAATGTTATGACATATTTCAACAGTTTTTATTTCCTATGTGTTTCAACTACGTGTGGACCCCAGGATGTGCCTTTTGTAACCGTGATTAATTTGTATGACTCAGAATGGACATAGATGATATCATCTGTTTTGTAGGAGAGTCAAAATTATGAATATTTTTAATTCTTTAGGATAGTTTTTAAAAAGGATATTAAGTTCAAAGAATGTTTCCCACTTATTTCATTCTAAGGAAATGCATGGAGGGACATTGAAATGAAAAGAATCATACATCAAGTTTTTCGTATATATCCTGTTTACACCGTTTAAATCATGTAAATAGAGTTAGTGACAGTTTTCACAGTCAGCAGTTTAGCAGTTTTGATCCCCAGGGTATTTTTTTGTAGACTCTTTAAACATAAATGTAACTGTAAAATATTTCTTGTTTAACAAAATAATTGAAGGAGACTTTAAATTGACTTTGTTGCACTGACGCAATCGGTCGTCGAGTATGTTATATTGGAATTACTCCATAGTGATAGATGCCCCTTTTTTACATTTGAGCCCCTGCACCTGAGAAACTCTCTGCCCATCCTTGTATGCATAGGATTTATTTTAACAAGTTAAATGTACTTGAAGTGTGCACCACGCAGTAAGTGAAAACAAGTATCGAATCAGGTTTGCAGATCCCACATACTCAAAATACAATGACTCGAATAAAACCAGGAGCACATAAAACTTGATCAGGACATTCCTATACCAACTTACACCTTATACCCTAAAGCCATGTCACATGACTAGTTATATAATCCTGAATAGATAGGGTGGAGTACAGTTTAAAGATGTGGAAGGTCAAAGCTTCTTTCAACATGTGGGAACATGTTACTTCCTGTATTAGGACATGAAAAGGGCTAAAACAACGTAGCTGATGTACTAATATGTTTCATTGTCTTCTTTCTGATTTTGTTTTGTTTCTGCAAAACCTTGTGATTTGTTTAGTGCACTTTTCATGCTTCCATGTCTATAACCATCCCCACACCTCTCTTTCAATGGCTTCTAGACATTACATTATGTGAGGAAGCAATATTTCAATTCCTTGCATCACCTCCTTTGGCTTCTGTCTCTGTGGAGCGTCTTTCTGAGAACCTTCCAGGACGCAAAGTGGACTGGAAGAGTGTTGAGAGGCTGAAGAAAAGCTGCAGTCCTCAGCGGCAGGCACTACATCTGCTTCGTCTCTGGAGAGAACAAAATAAGGACCAAGACAAACTCCTCAGCATCATCCAAGGTCATCATTTCTGTTTGGTTTATATAGCTTTAACTTTAAAGAAAAAAATGTTAGCATGAATACAAGTGAGAAAGTACAAGCGTTAGTGATCGTTAAGTCTATTTTTGTCTTATGTTGTGGGAATGTGGTTTACAGATAATCCTGTTTCTACAGATTTGAGGATATGAAAACCATAAACCTTCAGTTAATAATAAAAGTCCATAAAAGGTCAAACTATTGCTATAAATTGAAATCTCATCAAACCCATAATCAGTACAAATCATGGTGTTTTCTGTTCAAATCCTGATATCAAGATATCAGCCTGAATGTAAAATGGAATGTCTCCTGAAAACTTTAGGTTGTCTGAGAAAAAGAAAAAAAATACTTAAGAATTTTTATAGAAATATTACATCTTTTAATCTGTAAATGCTTTGATCTTTCAGTCTATAAATGTGATTACAAAGGAGGATTCATTAATTTACTGTAAATGATTCCAGACTTTAACAATCAAGAGAAATCTACAAAATATGACACTGCATTAAAATATGTTAGTTTATGTTGAATTATTGTTATTGAATGCACATACAATTACTAGTTTTGACACTATTTGCATTTGGAAATGAAACTGTTTTTAAAGGATTTTACATACAGATTTATGAACATTTGGAAGAAAGATAAGAATTATTGGAAGGCTTGCTAAATTTATACTACAGCTTATAAGTCAGTGCAACTTGATGTAGCTTGCTTCTTAAGCAAAGTGAACAATTTGTTTGTTTTGACTTCATTTACCATCATTACATATCAATTGTATATTTGTCTGCGGAATTATTTTTAATAGATATTAAATATTAGCTCAAGTGCAATGAATTTTAGGTTAATATATACTTCATATACTTTCTCCTAGGTGTAAACCACTGTGAGAGGAAGGTATCTCACTGTGCCAGTGTAAAAAGCCTTACTCTGGAAGACCTGTTGAGCTTGATGGAGAGTTTACCTGGGGAGAAAGTGAGCGAGGAGGATATTCGAGCCCTGGTCCGTTTCTGTCCCTCACAACGTTACATCCTGCAGCTCCTACACCTGTGGAAGATTCAGAATGGAGGTCAGGACCTGGCCAAAGCTTTATCTCACAGTCTCCGCAAACTACATTTGAAAGGTGCTCGCCGACCCCTTCTCAAAATTCTGAAGAGGATCAGTCGGATTATTAGTGCGTCATCCATACACCGTATGTATGAGAAGATGATTGTTAACATGATCCAGGACAACACATGTTTCAAAACCAAACTGTACAATGACTAATTATACTTTATCGAAGGACAATTGAAACAAGTTATTTAAATGAAGAGAAGTTGTACATAGTTTTTGACAGTTGTGGGCTAAAAGGGTAAGTAACTGATGTTTTAAGTAACTGATTTGTTGTGTGGAGATGTAGACCTTTTTTTCTTGTGGCCTGTTTTATATTGGACTGAAACTAAGAGTTTGATTCCAAAATGGAAATATAAGCCAAGTTCTACAGGAAAATCAACTTTAATTCAAGATATTGACCTGCTAATACTCAGAAAATGAACCTATATGGTTTAATGAAGTTGTAAATAATGGAAGTTGGTCATGAATGTGTAATACAATGGAGAGCAGTTATGTTATATTTAAGTGTAATTATATGTTGTCATATGTTGTTTTTATAAAATTATAAAAAGAAAATATTTATTATCAATTTGTCAGAAAACTGGACTCTAGAAATGCAGTATATAATTTGTTTTTGATTTAAGGATTTAAGTATGGTTAGGATAGTTTTGAGTACATATTGATGTTTACCACCACATATTCTCATAATGAAAGTATTCTCAAAAGTATCAGGTCTGCCACGATGTAAGAAACATTTTATATACTTTGTTGTGTTTTATTGTGGATGCTGAAGACCCTTTGTCCACACAAGGAACCACTAGGGCCTAAGGCCCCCAGTTACCATTTAGTCATCTATTGTTAGCCTACCAAAACTTGTAAATTTCCCCTGTCACTTAATGTGGAATTGATGCGTTGATTGAAAGGCATCTGTCACTAGGGATGGTGGGGACCTCCACAGACAAGTGCCCAGGGACCTTGCAGGACCATGTTCTGACCCTGTAACCAAGACAAGCTTGTAAAGTCTTTAAAACTGTTTGCGCTGGACATAGTAATCAGGGAAGCTAATAATGTAATCTTAATTATAATTTAATCCCTCAAACACCCTAAAATGTGCTTATTGTTTGATGTCTATTTCTCATTCTAATACATTATGTTGTTGTTGTTTTTACTGCCAGTGTAAATTTGCTTGTTTTTTTTTTTCAATTAATATCTTGTATCAATCACTCTTTGCGTTTGTACGTTATTTGACTCTTCACTATTCTGCTTGTATTATATTCATTGATAATATGGAGGTACCATACAGAAAAAAGTATTCAAATGTAGTAGGAAGCAGTTGTAACCACTGGAAAAAGAGGAATCCAAAAAGCATCCATGTATAAACACCCAATCCATTAGTGGAGGAAATTACTGAATAAAGCAACTGAGAATAGTTTGACATACATGAGAGAAGGATCATGGTGTACAGTATAAAAGGGCTTGTTTCTGTTTTACAGGTTTTGTGTTTACTTTAGATCTTACGTCATCTTTCCAAATCGTTTGGAAATCGAAGATAGAAGTACATTGATGGGGGGAGTCCAGGAGTTCTCCTTTTAGATTACTGATGAGTTATGAATGAAAAACGTTCATGTCAGATATTTACAAATGGCACTAACATCACAATTCAATATCAGTATCACTTATCAATATCACTTTCTGAGTTCTGTGTACAGTAATTCTTAGTTCTTATATTTTTGTTTCAAATTGCCATTGCTTAAAAACAATTACATAACATGCTTATATACCAACAATTCCAACTTTAAATGAAAGTTTGGTGGTCTGTTGTACATTATGGTAGTGTATAATCGAATTATTGCTTTTTTTAGGTTAACTGTTAACTGCTGTTCCTCTCCTTGTAAGAATGCATTTTAAACAGTCAATTAATAAGACAATTAATTAAAGTTAGAACTGTTACAGTGGATGACCTCAGAAAAGTTTTTTATTTCTTCATTCTCACATGGTACTCACATGTTATGCCTGTCATTCATTCCAGTTTCACTGATATTTACCACTGAGAAGTTAAACGACATTTAACTTTATCAAAAAGCTGTGCATGAACTGAATTTGCATATAAGAAAATAGATTAGACAGTTTAAAGTGGAACATGTGAGACCTAATCATAGATCACAGATTAATAAAGATAGATAACATTAACTCATTGATAAGCTAATGTACTACTGGAAGCAATATGGTAATTACATTTTTATTTCACTGGATAATGTAAAATGTTTGTATGGTTCTCTATATCTTCATAATGTACTGTATTACTTGGGTGGTGGGTGTGTAACAAAATGAATCATGTGCAAACTTCTCAGCAGTCCAGCCTCTGTGTGGGTGGGTAAGGATACATTTAAAGAGATGAAAGCCCTTAGTTCTTCCTATCTTGTCAGGACGAGAAAGTAAAATGGATCATATTTATGTAAGTACAGTAGAGTAATACTAATGAACATCAATTCAATTTGTAATTATGTTCTGTTGTAAATGTTAGTGCACATTACTATGGTAATTAATTATACTAGTGACCACTCAATTGCTATTCGCATACAGTGTACTTACACTACGTATTAAGAAGGTACTGAGCAATATTAGGTAACTACTTGGACTTAATATGGGTTAAGGTTAGATTGTGAAATACTGTGGAAATAATGGTTCATGAATTGCCTTATAATTTACAACAGAAATGTAAACAGTATTTAACAAGGTAATATTTAACATACATTTACAATAAATATTGTTAAATTATGTTTTTATTATGAATGTAATTGACATTTTATTTTATTGTTTATGAAGAAAAGGACTTTCCCATAATTCCTTGTTTCACCATATTTTTATTTAAAAAGTTAGTGTTTATGTTACATTTTATAATATAGTTAAAGTTTACTGCATGAATTACCTTGATGGTGTGTGATTTGTGTGGGTAATACTGTGCTTTGACTCTTTAAGATGTGTCAATATGCTGCAAAGACTGATTTGGATAAACTTTAAATCCTTTTGTGGTTTTCCACCTTTGTTACGAAAAAATACAGTGTTACTGGATACTGCAAATGTATTTTTTTATTTAATGTTCTAGAAATGCTGCAGTGTTGAACATCACTTGGCTCTAGTACTGATGCTACTATTACACACTGACACATCGACAGTAGAAGTCCTCACTTACCAGCACGAGGACCCGCTCACAAGGCAGATACTCACATGCACACGCTGCCCCCCTGGAACCCACATGAGTCAACACTGCACTGCAACTGAGGACACTGTCTGCTCGCCATGTCCAGAGGACCATTTCACACAGTTCTGGAACTACTTACCGAAGTGCCTGTATTGCAGCACTTTCTGCGTAGAAAATCAGTACATTGAGAAAGAATGCTCTACTACTAACAACAGGGTTTGCCAGTGTAAAGAAGGCTATTTTTGGCAAGCTGACTTCTGCATCAAGCACGCGGAGTGTCCATATGGATACGGCGTCCAGCAGAATGGTATTTTAGATGTTTCTGGGGTTATGATGTTCTCTCTCTCTCCTCTAGATTGCGTGAAATGCTTTTTAATTTGTCTATAGGTACCTTACACCGTGATACAAAATGTGAGAGGTGTGCGCGAGGCACCTTTTCTGCGGTCACGTCCTCGACATCGCCTTGCATAAAACACACTGAGTGCAAATCGATGGATCTTGATGTGGTACTGAGGGGAACCGGCTGGCATGATAACATATGCTCAACATGCGAAAATCTACAGAATGCTGGTAAATTTTCTAATTGGTCATCGATTGTCGAATGTCATACATTATTCATATTGTAAAAAGTGGTAACAGTCAATTGTTACCGGAGCTAGGCAATTTTTATCTGATCTGACCGTTAAATTTTACTTTTGTTGGTTTAACCGAATTGGGTTGATTCAGTAGTCTGGTTCATTCAATGCCAATAAATCTTTCTTACTTGAATACATCTTAAACACATGAAGCACATTTTTTCAAATTAAGTTTGATTACCTCGTAATTTTTCTATTACCTCAACTTATTATGAATGTTTTTGTATTGTGGTATTCTGACCTGCAGAGATCAGCACAGAGTTAATAAAAGACATTTACACAAGCATACTTTCTGCTAAGATTCTCTGGTGCACCCACCTTGGTCAATTAAAACACAAGAGTACTCAATTACTAAACACAAAGTAAAATAGAAATATCAAGTATTCCAGAGAGTTGTGTAGTAAGACCACACAAAAAAAATATTTTCCACTGTATAGAAAATAGTTGTATACACATTCTTAACAAATCTGCTTAGCGTTACACAAAAAAATATGGGTTTGGAATGATATAAGGATGTCTAAATAATAAAACTAAATTCTTATTTTGCCATTTTATTTTTGGTTTAACTATTTAAATAGCTGTTTTACGCTTATTTATATAGTACAGCAAAATGTCTGAACGTGAAGACTAAGTCACTGTCTGTTTCTTTGGTATGTTTTTTACATTTTCTCTCTAGGTGGTTTATCTATACTGAAAAAGTTCCTGCCAGACTTCTTTGCTCATGAAAAAATACGCCAGTCCAAACTGTACAGATTTATGAGACATCATCTTGGCCAGAAGCTGCAAGGAAAACATTCCCTCTATTCAAACCGATCCCTCTTACTTCTTCCTATTTCAGAGTGGATTAGCGGTGCTAGTATAGACCAGCTCAAGAAATTACCAATGCAACTCAGAAGTAGCAACATCCACAACACTGCAGACAAGCTCTCAAAAATGTTCAAGGAGTTAGAGGCCTCAAATTCTAATTGTAAAAATGCAACACATTGAGTTTATTAATAAGCTTATGATTTTTTGGGGGGGTGGGCCTTCCTTCCTAAAGGCCACTAAACAGAGATTTTGTTGATGTGCATTGTGTTGCTTGTGAGTGTACGCTGTGCTCTTTTGATGTGATGAACAAGCATGATATTATGTTGGGGGCTGAAAGAAGCATTAATCCCCTTTGAACAATAAATAAACAACTTTTTTGAATGTTTAAATGAGTTGAGAGCTTTCATATTTAAAAAAAAAAATTAAAACTCATTAGGATTGTTTTTGAGTAAATTTAGCCCTATTATTTTACTGAATGAAAGAAAAGGTGTTCCCATCCAAAAATAAAAATTTTATATTTTTGCTACCACAGGATAAATACAAAGACAGAAAATGAATGATATTTCATGAAATCATACAATCTCAAACCAGCACTAGCTGGCAAAATGAAACACTGGTGCGTTTAATTTTGCTTAATAGCGGAGACAGTAAGTAGGTGGCCCAGTCTGAAATCTGAATGTTTATCTAACACAGATAAGGCTTCATCTCCACATCTGTCCACACTGTCGGAAAATGCAGCATTAATAATTCCAGTTCTGCAGCAGATGTGACAGAGTGAAAGAGTCACTATAAATGCCATGGTTCATTTTGGGAGTTCCACCAGCGTGTGGCTTGAATTATTTTCTAGTGGTTCAGAGTACCACATTTCACTTATCTTTCGCCATGCTAAACAAGTGCAGAAACCATTAGAGGGAGTTCAAGCAGCTAGCTTACCACAAATAGAAGCAAGAATGTTTCTGAGTATTTTAACTGGAAGTCACATGACAACTGGTAGGTATTATGAGGCTTTGGTCACTAAGCCATTAAAAAGTGCCCTTTGGTGACAAATCAGACTTGTTCCTCTTTCCTTTTTTGTATGTCTGTCTCTCTTTGTCCTCTTCTCTAGTGTTACTGAGCTAACTTTTTTTTTTTAAACCACCAGGGGAACTCCATGATTAGTTTCCACTGATCATTTGTGTGCTCTTTTTTGGCCTCAGGCCTATACTAAAAGTTAAATCTAAGGAAGAAGTGAAAGCCATATTTCCACAGCAGGACTTTCCCCTGGAAACAGGCCTCAGTTGCAGTTACATGTGGACCAGTTTTCTGCCAAGGTTCTTTCAGGGGTAGTCTTGGTTCTTGGTTCTTCAGACTTTCTGATTGCAGACAGACACTTTTGACTAATAATGATTAATTACACTGCTACTATAACTATTGGAGCATTTGTTTCTATTTCACATATAATTGTGAGCTATTTCACATAACGGATATTGAAATATAGTGAACAAGTTAAAACAATAGCTGAATTAAAAAAAAAATACCTCAAAAGTATACATATATTTGATTCTTAATACTTTGTGCTGTGGGATTACAAATTTAAGAATCTGTTTAAAATATGCTGATCCTTTCCATGCTAGAGTATCCTCTTTGACTAAGAAATTGAACCGCAACAAAGTTGCAGCAAAAACTGATGTGGAAGAAGTTAGTCAGCCTGATAACAACTATCCTGACTTACCAGCTTTCTTTGAAACAGATGTAGCCATCCAATCAGTAACTGATGTGCCTATAGATTCAGTGAAGGTATGTGGCGCGAGGAGAAGATCTCAGGGAATTGAGGGAATTGAAAGTGTTCCTCCCAACTCTTCTGTTGTCCAAGTACAAACTGTTGCCAAAGCACTAGGACCTAAAGATATAGAGAGACTATCCCAGAGCTTACCCTCAGCACGCACAAATTTTTCTGAATTTAGAAGAGCATTGATCAGCAAAATGTGTCTCTACGACATGTCGTTAGCAGAAGTTACACAGCTGATGTCACAAAGTCTAACTGAATCTGAATTCAACAGTTTTGAGTGTGCTGTTACTTCTGAACAACATGCCAGTAAAGGTGATTTGAGAGAAGGTGTTTTGAAAATTCTAAAGAATATAATGGGACCCAAAATAGACTGGTCCAGAATCACTAATTGTGTGCAAATGAAAGAAGAAACTGTGAGTGAATACACTGAAAGGTTTTGTCAGTCAGCTGCAGCATACAGTGGAATAGCTGACACTCCAGAGAAGGTACTGGATCATAAAGGACCACTAGTTCGAGCATGGTTTGATGGCCTTTTATCAGAGTACAGATCTGCTTTGCCGTTCTTAGATCTAACATGGTCCACTGGAAGTTTGCAAAACAACTTGGACAGGTTAGCTACATGGGAAAGAGACTCTGATGTTAAAGCTAGTCAGACTTGGATGACTGCAGCGACGCTCGAGTCCTCAATAAAGAGTGACTTCTGTATGAAACATATCCCAACGTCTCCTGGTCTCTGCTTCGACGAGGAAAAAGTTTCCAACAGTGCCATACCTGCATGACCTGTTCTGCAAGGTGTATGTAACCTTATGACAATAAGCACATTTAAAACTGACCTGACCAGATCTGCTCTGAGATGGCTGAGGAGGAAAGCACTCACACTGCTGCAATTATCCAAATGATGACAAAATATCAGCATTTGATCAAACCAGATGCCCACAAGAAGATATTTCTGTCACAACCAATAGTGGAGGCTTGCAGAGAGAATAATTAAAATCCTGTAAATAGGGCCTCCAATTATCACTGATGCAAATCAACATTCTCAAGTGGTGAGAACAATAAATTATTTTCGAAGTAATTCTATGAAAATGTAGCATATATGAAGACGTACATACATACAGGAATTTATGTGTATTATTACTATTATTAAAATTATTATTAATAATGCGCAATAATGAGTCCAAGCAGCCATGCTTGACTGATTGCACAGACACTATTGGAAGAGAGCTGAACTGGATGATGACATCACTGAATCATCGTCAATGAACTGACTTTATCTGGACAAAATTACTCTTTGATATTGTCTTCTTGCATTATTGACAAACTCTTTTCCTGTTTGACACTGTAAAGCTGCTTTGACACAATCAGTATTGTATACAAATAAAGTTGACTTGACTTTTATTATTATTATTATTATTATTATTACTATGCAGTACCTAGTCAGTGAATTGGTGGATTCATATTAATTTTTTAGATTAATACTGCCATCCAGTGGTCCATGAAAAATTCTCAGGATATAGTTTTGGAGAAAGCTACAAATAAGGGAATAACACAAAAGATCACAGTGTACATTGCAATCAATGCAATGTTATTGTGTTGCTATATAGGAAGTAATAATCTCTCTAGCCTGAAGAAGACCAAAGGTGCAAACGACTGCCAATTTTGCTTAATGTCCCCCTGAGAATTAAATAAATAAATAAGCAAGTATGGATAATTCTTAACTACTGTTAAAACGATACAAGATCAAACTACTCATGGATGCTTGGACTCATCTTTTAAAAAATTTTATTGTGCAGTGTTTCTAAACCAGTGGGCAGGGCCTCACCAAGGGGCCTCAGTAAATGTCCAAGTTGCAACTGACATAATTTTTGTTTTTATCATATTTATTTTAATTTATCATCCTCTGTATTTTTTTATTTTATTTTTGTTTTGTTTTTTAGTGAAGGGTCAATGTTTCTGCGATCATGAAAAACCTGAATACAGTATAAAATGATTAGTAGTATTACTAAAGTCTTTAAAAAAAATAATATACTCTTTCATAATAAATGTACTTTTTAAGTAAATGTTAAAAATGTTTTATTGAAATGAAATATTATTGTGCGTAATAAAAAAAAATAACATTTTAATTTCTTGTCATATAATCATTAATTAAGGAATAGTTTGCCCAAAACAAGCATTTACGTATGTTAGAAAGATGAAGCAGTGGCTGTTTTGATCCTTCAAGTGTGACTTTATATATATATAATTTTATTTTATTTTATTTTTTTCGAATTACTATGGCTTGAGCTTGAACTTGAGTCATGTGAAATTTACAATTTAATTAACAGCTTAAAGAATACACTCAGTAATTTTATGTTACTCATTGAGGACTGCCTTTTAGGTATATCATTATATTAAAGTGACCAGATTTCTTCAGTCAAACAGGGACATTTCCTAGTTCAGAACTCAAAATATCATTGAAATCCCACTTGAATTAAAAAATGGGGACAATATATTTTTGTATGTTTAGTTTTTTTAATTGTTGTGGCTTCTATATACTAATTTAATCATTAATAGACTAATCATAATTACGTTTTATTTTTTTTATGTTTTTAATAGTTTTAATACAATTCGCAAAAAAAATTTACACAATGAAAAGTAGTAAATAGTAACTATTGCAAAAAGCTAATACATCAAAACATGGGGTTACATTGTAAACTTGGTTCCCGATCTGTCAGTCACTACGAGTTATGTCGTGACGACACTAGGGGTCTAACTTGGGAGCCCAATCATCTCTGAGTTTAAGAGAAAAAAAACTATGAGAATTGGCTAGAGGATTTTGCATGCTGAGCCACTCCCTGTGCATACGGGTATATAAGGTGACATAAGGCGCCCTCCTGCGTCCTCCACAGCAGCTCCATCCAGTGCTGAGGTAACACCAAGGCAGGGACGTCGAGTTCCTCGCAGGAAGGCAGCGGCCCCCGTGTCGCACCCGGACGCCAAATCCTCTAAGAAGACGACGAAGCGGCCCTGACACGGGCAACCCGGAGATGTGGGAGTCTGCTCTTCAGGAAGTAGCCGAGTAGTTGTTCTTCAGGAGGAGTCTGCTCTTCAGGAGGAGCCGAGTAGTTGATGTTGATACATTGCTACAATGCCATTCATCCTCCAGATGCCACCTTCCATCGCGGGCCATGTCTCAGCCTGCTCGTCGCCGTGGGTGCCCTCCTGCGTCCTCCACAGTAGCTCCATCCAGTGCTGAGGTAACACCAAGGCAGGGACGTCGAGCTCCTCGCAGGAAAGCAGCGGCTCCCGTGTCGCACCCGGGTTCTCTAAGAAGACGACGAAGCGGCCCTGACACGGGCAACCCGGAGATGTGGGAGTCTGCTCTTCAGGAGGTAGCCGAGCGGAGAATCTTCGTTTGATTTTTCGTTCTGTT